ATGCTTTGGCTGATGCGTTGTCACGCAGAACAGACTATGAGCTTGCTCATGTTACAACCTTAACGTCGTCGGTGACAGATTTGATCCGCTCCGCGTCTGCGGGTGAGGAGATGTGTGTATCGTTGCTACGGGCTCTCGGGAGCAAGAAGTTTTGGAACTCGGACGAGAAATTGTCATCAAGATTGCGTGCACGATCGCACCGATATTCGTTGAATAACGGCTTGCTATATTATAGCACCGATTCAACGCATACACCACGAATATTGGTTCCTCATGATGAGGATTTGAGATACCGCATCCTCTATGAGGCTCACGACACGCCGCTTAGTGGTCATCTCGGTCGTGAGAAAACGTACAACTCTGTGAGTTACCACTATTGGTGGCCCAAGTTGTACAAATGGACGAACACTTATGTGCGCACGTGTGAGACGTGTCAACGGGTAAAACCCTCTTCAGATGCGGCTGCGCCGCTGGCCAGCTTACCGGTACTCACTGGGTGCTGGCAGTCAATGCGTTTGGACTTTGTGTTTGGCCTGCCGAAAGATTCGGCGGGCAACACGGGTGTCGTAGAATTCGTCAACTGGTTGAGCAAGATGGATCATTTGGCGGCGGTGCCAGACACCATCGACGGAGTCGGTACAGCAACGCTGTTTGTAGATCGTGTATTCGACGACACGGACTCTCAGAGTCGATTGTCCCTGATAAAGACCCCGTTTCACGGGAACATTTTGGTCGACTATCATTAAGGTGCTTCGCACGAAGTTAGATATGTCGACAGCGGATCATCCGCAGACCGATGGTCAAACCAAAAGGGTGAATCAAGTCGTCGAAGACGTCTTTCGCAGCAGTTGCGCTGTGACGCCGAGGCGCGGGAGCGTCATGTTAACACTCGAAGAGTTTGCACTGAACAATGCAGTGCATGCGTCTACCGGCTACACGCCGTTCAACGTAAACGGACTGATTCACCCTCGCGTCCCACTGACGCCACCATCCCACCGCTCAGGATGGTTGTGGAGGAATAGCTGAATGGCTAGCTGATGCCAGCCCTCTCACCATCTGCAAAGAAGTCGATGACTTCTTCTCTACCAGACTGAGTGTCCTACGACCCGTTCGCGATGCGATGACAGAAAGCCAAGACCTGCAGAAAGAATATACAGATTAGAACGAAAGAGGCAAAGTAGAAAGCTTTAAGGTCGGGGATTTTGTTCTATCAAATTTGAAAAACCCTCCTACACATGCAGCCTCCGCTATCTTCAGGACGAAGCTTCATCCACGATTTATCGGACCGTTTAGAGGTTGTGGCCAAACGGAGCTTAACGTACACGCTAAATCTTCCAAAACGGATGCGCACCGGTGTTTTATGCTGCTTGCTCAAGCCGTACCGGGATTCGGCGCAAGTGAACGCGGAAGCGTTGGCGCCGGAGCGGATCCCACGGCTCGTGGCCACTTAGAAGTTGAACCAGCAACTGGTTCTGAGCACGGAGTGCAGCAACCTCCATTTCCAATGGAGCCAAGCGCTCCACCGTTGCCTACAGCGATGCATTCGCCTGCTTTACGGCTAGAAGTCGCTCCGACAGAGAGCAGTAGTCCTCAAGGCGAGGCAGCCAGCGGACGACGTGCTTTAAATCGTCAAGAGCGTCCGCACAGCGATAAGCTACTTCAGCATAACGCTCAGCGGAGCTCCTATCACGAAGGACCTTGTACTCAAGGGCTCGAAGAGCATCACCAGTCACCGGACGGCGGTCGACCCGGTCGTCACCGCCCACCACCGACTCTTCTTAATGAGAACGGCGACGCCCACTATCACGTGGAACGTCTTGATGGACGACGTCGTCACCAGGGTCAAACCCAATATTCGGTGAAGTGGCTGGGATATCCCGACTCTGAAAACTCGTGGGAGTTTTGTGTCGCCACGTCGGCTAGATTGCCCAGTCGCCTTGGACGTTTTCGATCGGAAAGATCAGGACGTCCCGCGTCATCAGAGGCAATAGCCAGGAAAGTAGACGGGCCATAAGCTGAGCTCAAGCAGCGGTCCTGAGCTTTTACGGTCACAGACACAAAGCTCGCGGGAGCGTTAAGGGTTGACCGATACGTCGCAGGGCGACAATCTGAAGGATGTCGACGGCAGCCTTGAGTTTGGCAAACCCAAAGCGGAGGTGTCGCTCCACACGCTCGTCCACTTCCTTGTGGCTCAACTGCAGGTTATGCAGTGAGGAAAGTTTCGATGCCGTTACACCCCTCGCATAAAGAGCGCTTCGT